TCCTGCTGATCATGCTCTGTCCTCTCCAGTTGGGACTAGCATGGCCTTTCACTGTGCACACAGCAGTGCACCCAGCTCTGCAAGAACTTCTGTAACCCTAGGGTGCCAGCTCAGAAACATACAGAGAAAATCCTTTTTCACACCACAGGGAAATTCAGCTGTGGAAATTCCTGCCCCATCAAGCTGCAGATGTTAAAATCTTGCAGAGCTGGAAAGGGAACCTGAGCACAGCTATGGGAAGGAATCCTTCCAGGGGTCCTGAAAGGAAACAAGCTGCATGTACTTGAAAATGTCCTTGAGCTGTCAATGACAGGGGGCTTGCAAATCACCACAGAGTTATACCACTGTACAAGCTTTGGTTACTATATATGCATGTGCCATGGGCGAAGGGAGCAGAGTACACTCACTTCTTCCACAGGCATCCCTGCTGCCTCACCAGGCTCTCTGAGTGCAGCTCTCATAGAAGGGTTACATTGCATAAACCTCCTTGTCTTCTCCACAACCTGGAGGTCACAAGGACCTCCTTGTCCCCAACCAGCCACCAGGCAGGCCTGTGCCACAAGAATGCCTAAGAAGTGGGAATACTGATTGCTCCCTCCTCTCCAGACCCACTCAGCTGGGGTGCTGCTAGGCCACATTTCTGCTTCCTGTGTGGCAGCCAGGGCATGAGGAGCTTCTGCCTCCACAAAAAACTAAGAGCTCACACTGGTCCAGGTCTGCAAAATAAACCCTCCCCAGATTCTGTCATCTTGTGAATGACATCCTTTTGTCAGTTGACTCTGGGCTTCCTCCCACAGCCCCAGCCCTTCAACCCAGACATTCACACCTCATTTTCAGTTTTTGGTGGTGGACTTTCATATACGTCAAAGCCATTGGAAAGGCACATTTGCTCCTTTTTTGGCAATTTTTCCTCCACTTCCTGCTGTTTCCTGCCGTCTTCGATCTCACTTGGCTTCTGCATGTCCTTCAGTGGCACCCTTTCTCCCTGACCCTGGTGCTGGCTCAGGTCAGTAGTTTTCATGAGTGGTTTTGGCTCAGGAAGTTGTGGTAAGGAATTCACAGCTCCAGAGCCTGGTCTCAAGGACACCAAGAGAGGCCCTAGGGAGGGAGGCAGGTGACAGGTTAGCATTCACAAATCACACTCAGAAATCAGCTGTAAACAACTAATTCAAACAACCTCAGGGATAAACATGGAGGTTTGATTAGAGCAGCTTCCAGAGTTCACAGTGGTGAACACTTTAGCCAACAAATTATTTTAGTTTGCAGAGATATTTGTTATGTCTCGCCTTTTCCTCCCTTCCTCTTTCTCTGGCAGCTAACAGGCCAGAGAGCCAGAGGCGTCTTGACCAAGCCCTGGAGTGCTGAAAGGCCGGAGAGCTCTCCATATGCTGACCTTTGTTAACTCCGTTCAGCCACTCTTGTGCTGTCAGTGCTGGCTGGCCTCCTGAGGTCAATGGGTAGATGTCTTCCTGATATGACTCTGACTGCAAGCAAACAAAAGTCCAGAGTCACTACGTCAGTGAGGTTTTGGCTTAGAGGGACCATACTGGATTGTGGTGGAGAAAGAAGTTTGTTCCACCTCAGCATAGGGACTGTCATGAGCACTCACCAGCATGGACATAAAATCTCTTCCCTGCCCTGACCCTCTCTCCTCCTCCCCCCAACTCAGAAGAATTGCATCTGAAGGCCTAGTTTAATTCCTGCCAGACAACAGACTGGGGGAGGTTGGTGACACAGGCTAACCCAACTCTTATGAACTCAGTGCTCCTGAGGATGAAGAAGTGGATACAAAGGATGGACACGAGTCACAAACCATCAGCTGATCGTCAGCTGACAGAAATTGGCTAAGGACATAACATTGGAGAAACATATGTGACTGGGAGTTGCAATGAGCATTAGCTCTGCTGGTTCTCTGAATTCAAGACACTCCTACATTCCAATGTTTCTGGAAGTACAAGGCACAGTGTTGACATTTCCAATGTACCTTTGCTCACACAGACACATAGGAGCTACCTTGGCTAGCTCTAGATTCATGACCTGGGTCATTCTCCATCCAGACCAGCTCTAAGACTTAGTTCTGCACCACTCTCGGTGCAATGAGTCATGTCTTACACACTGCAGAACAGCTGTCTGTAACACAACTGCACTCACTGGGTAGAGACCTGGGAACTCATCACTCCCTTTTTCCTAGGGTCATTCTTCTTCCTTCCATGAGGAGATTTTCATGTCACCTAACGTTATCCTCAACCCTTCTCTCTTTTGTCATTATGTCAAACAGATGCTACCAACTGAGGAAGTTTACAGCCAGCCAGTTGACTTGACAATCAGAGAGACCCCTTGTTTCACACAAGCAGAGCAGAGCGGTGAGTATGTCTTAGAAAGTTAACCATTACACAGAGACTAACTCTTGAGTTACCCAGTCAGAGTTTCTTGGCAGGGCTGCCCCACAAACTGACAGCTTTGTCCCTCAGATCAGGATAAAGAAAATCCCTTTTTCTACCCATTCTCCTGCCCTCGAGTCACAGAGAGGAGGCACTGCCCTGTTTTTCACTGATACTTGTCCCAGACATGAACATGACCTGAGGTTAACTTACCCGTCGAGGCACAATCATGGAGATGGGCTCAATCAGGCTTTTAGATGGGATCAGTTTGTAGAAACGGAAAATCTCACAAGCTGACACTTCAAGGCCTCTCTTTGGCATAATTCCTGGTGGGACAGCATGAAACAAATGGGGTATAAATCTCCCTAGGAAAGTTAATGTCATCCAACACGGAAAAAGGGTCACCAAACAACAAAAGGAGTCACAGTATCAGCTCCACAAAAGCATGGTTTGAAATCTGCACCCAAAACTGGCTTAGTGGCACAACAGACAAGATTAAATAATTTTTTTCTGTCAATGACAGAGTTACACACAGCGTCTGTGGTTTTCATGCTAAGCCTCCTGTTCCGTATTTATTCTCATGAGCCGCAAACAGAGGATGGGGCAGAACTGCCAGGTAATGCTGCAGGATTTGACTATCAGGATCACCAGGAAGGGATTTCAGGACACTTAAACAACACCAGAATAGCTATATGGGTGAGGCTGAAAGCCTCTCCAGCCCAATATCCTCCCCCCAAAACTGTCCCAAAGCAGAATAGAGTATGAGAAGGATGTGAACATCTGCTCTGTCAGACAGCATCATTTGTATTTCAGGTACTAGCTAAGCCACACGAAGTCTCTAAGTACCTGGTAACCTCAGTGGATTTCTCTCCCATGAGCTTGTACAGTCCAAAGCCTACAACCACGTTAATTTCCTTAACAAAAGAGATTGCCTCTCCTTGTATACCTTGCTTCATGGTGTCCAACTGAAGCTTTATTTTCTACTAATACCAAGTCACTTCATTAAACAGTAGGTTCTATGTGAAAGACTGCTGCTCCTTATGTTATACATTCAGCTAAATGCGAATCTATACTCAGTTCTCTACATTGTATTTTGTTCTGGTAATATTGGGAAAGAAGCTTTTGTGCAATAACCTTAGCAGTATGTTTGACAAGCAGAACAGATCCTGTTAGGGAAGTAGATTTGATTCACTCAGGCCTTTTAAAAACACTTGTACACTTCCTTTTCATGGAATGATTTTTAAAGAAACTATGACAACATAAAATCAGGATGCTGTACATTGGAAGGATTATAAAAGCTGAATAACAGAGAGATCTTCCTGTTAAATTTTAATTTACTCCTTTCCAATAACAGTTTTTTGAAGGAGACCTGCAGGCACAAAATCCAGTGCTGCTAAATATCTGTACTAATGCCCTGGGAGAATGGGAGTGTCCATAGGTAGTGTGGAGGGGAGGCAAATAGTCCTTAAAACACATCGATCTATAGAGGAATATGGCTTACAGGGTAGACTGGAGAAGGTTCAAGAAAGGGCTACCAATAGGGTCTGAGGGTTGAAAGCCAAAATCTGTAGCTTGAATGAGTTAAACAGTGGGTAGTACGCAGACAACTTAATAAGCAAGGGTCTCCAATAGAGGACAGGTGACCTAAACACAGCAGATCTATCTCTAAATGGGAATGTCAGTACAGGAGAAGGTAGGCAAGTGATAAGAGTGAAGGTATTAAGATGTGGAGCACCCATTACCAGAGAAATCCCAGAGTGGGAACGATGTCAACAGAGTTCAATGCCAAAAATCTTGGAGCAGATTCACAAAGGGCAAGGAGCATCCTCCACCTTTAAATCCAGACTATCCTCCCTCCCACCTTGACTAGGTATGTGAGAGGGTATGCAGTAGTGATTGGTGAAGCTGCCCGGTCCACGTGCTGCTAGTCAGAACAGGCACCTCCAAGTTGTGACCCTGTAATACCACCTGAGATATATAGGTGAGCTGGGCCAAGCTGACTGTTATGCACCTGTAAACCTGGATGGAGACAGGAATCTGACCGTCTCTCTGTTCTAAATGACATTTTGGATAGGTCTGGACTCCAACAGCCTCTAAAACAAAGAAGCCACCATCCTCCTGTAACTTTAGACGTACACTGCCACTCACCTATTCCCTTCTGTGGTAAATGAGACTGGTATTCCATCAGGTAGTTCAGGTATGGTTTCTCAGGGCTTATCTCATAGTACCGTATATTTCCATCACCCTAAAGGCAAAGAAAATGAACGTAAGCCAGGCTGTGCTATTCAGTATGAGAGTCGGAGAAGAATGCTTGGCCCCAGAAGCCACGCAGTGCCAAGAACAAGCCAGATATTTACCCTGAAATTCCTATGTGAGAAAGTTAGGGCTCTGTAGTGTACCTCCCCACAGTAAACATGGTATGTCTGCAGTGGCAAATGTGGCCTAATGCTGCAGTACCCTCAGGCCCCATCCCATCAGCCCATATTCTTAGGTTAATGTGCTTCAGGAGCACCTTTGACTTCAGCCTGACAGAACACCAGCCAGGAGATGGATCAGACAGGCCAGCATTTGCCAATGTGGAAAGCCCTTACCTTTCCCACCACGTAAAGCATATGCGTGTCTGAATCATAAAAAAAAGAGTCCCGAGGAGCCATCCAGATCCTCCTCCAGTAAAGGCACAGAAAGGTCATTCTGGGCAGGACACAGGAAAAACAGACAACTGCAATCACCTGTCAGTCACCTCAAGTCAGAGACACCTTACCTGAACCCCACATGGCAGCGGCATGTAAGTGCAGCTCTATAATGATCCTAGGCCATGGCCAGCTGCCCTGACCTGCGAGCCATGCACAGAATTCTTCAGAGCTCTATGGATGGGAATTGGGTGCTCTGTCCCGGGCTCTTGACTGAGTGCGGCACCTCAGGACATCAGTTCCTACCACAAGAACATTTCAGGCACCTAATGACATTTCAGGGTTAGATACCTGCCTATATGTGGGCCACCAGACTCGGGGAGATAGAGGTGCCTTTGGGGCATGTCTGCGTTGCACACTGAATTACTCATGTTCCTTCACTACCTCTAGTCAAGGCAATACCTCTACAATAGTGCACCACCCACCACAAGAACAGTCTACCTCAGCCGAAGAGTCTTCACACTGCATGGTAGGAAGACGCCCATTGCAAGGGCAAAAGCTTCCATCAGCATTTTGCAGGTAAGCCACATAGGAGGATGTAGCACACCACTCCATACACAAGGTTGGCATATGTTACACAAAACTATCCTTGCACTGATGAAGGGAGCAATGTCAGGAGGACCAATGGAGCAGAGTATGGTATCCCACGGCTGCCATTGTGGCTATTGTCACACAAATATATATTTAGCACAGGATTAATACATACTTTGCCCTGCAGAACTGCCCAGCTGCAGGCTCCAGAAAGCCAGAGCTTCTATTTAGATGCGATGATGACATGGGTGGACATGGACCTCAGAAAGATGGCTGCTGGGCAAGTCCAGTGCCAATGCTTGTCCCTAAGAAAGCTGCACATGCCTGGCCTCACAGGCCTTCCCACTGTGTTCTCAAACTAAGTGTGGTCAGATCCTCCAGCAGCTCTGAAGGTAGTGAAACCTTGACGTGAGACCCATGGCATGTCAGGGCACTGCTCAGCTTTGTGGAAAGCTTTCAGACAGCAGCACAGTGCTTTGCCTCTCACATATGCAAAGAAGCCATGTCCAAACACAGGCAAATGGCAAATCATAGACCTGTTCTACCAGCTTTGCCTGGTACAAAGGGTGACAGCACAACAAAGAGGGAAAAGATTACGCTGCAAAATGGTTGGCTAGGAGGGACAAAGTGAGATGCTGAGAAAGGAAAAGCATCTCTCTGCATATGAGAAGGGTAGAGGATTCGTAATGCTAGCAGTCATCATGATAGGAGATTATGTCCTGGAAGTGATCAAGAAGTGCTACCTCAATACTCTACTGTCAGGAATCATCAGAAATCAAAAACACTCCATATCTTTTTCTCCATTGAGGGCTTCACCTGAGTAGCTCATTTCTCTTTCCAGCACCAGTAACAATTTGCCAGTGAGACTAGTAAAAGTTGCTTTTAGGTCAGAGCTACAGTGACCACCCAAAGGTCCTTTGAATGATATCCTCCTGTAGTGGGCACAGCATTCTCTTTGTTCTGGTTGATTTCTATGCTGAAAGCTTGGAGAGCTTCTTCAGAAACTCATACTCAGTTAACAGTCTCATAGCAGTAAGACCTATTACCCATTAAGAATTTGACAGATCACTTCTGAATTGCTGTTATAAACCAATTCTTTGGTATTTGGCAGGTGGAAAAGTGACAGTAAAAGAGAAAAAACTGAAGCTAGTATGGTTAAGATTACTGGTCCAACTCACTTGATCCCATAATGCAATTTGCCTATTATTCCACTGAGATGTTCCAGTAGAGAACAGCTTTTTCACATTTCCAAGGAACAAGACTTTATTGACTCTGTGAGACTTGTAGCTGTCTTCCTATAGGAAGAAAAAGGACACTGCATGAGTAAGAGACAGCATCTGTTACATAGCTACATTTCACATTACATGAGACCTCTGATTCAGTCACATTTTGAAAGATATGCTCAGCCTGGCTGAACTGTAGTGAGCAGGATTTCATGGGGATCTGAGAAAGGTGGCCTAAGCCCTTCAGGACCATTCCCAAAAGCCCAACCAATCTCTCAAACTATTAATTCACATGTTTGCAAGAGAGCAATCCCTATTAGTTGTAGGGAGGATTTTCTGTGTATGCAAATCTGTGCAAATACCTACGAAACGCAGTCAGCTTCACCTTGTCAACAGATACAAAGTACAGGCAACAAGAACAACCCTGGCAGTGGGACAAATGTACACTTGGCATCCACCTGTCCATCTGATCTCTACAAGCCCTGCCAAGGTGTCCCACAGAGAGCTGCAGGAGGGAGCTATGAAAACAGCCCACTTCAGGAAGGGTTTCAGGGAGCAAAGAGCATGGTAGCAAGATGCAGAAACCCTGTTTTCAACGATGACAGCAAGTGTTTCATGAAAAGTAGAAGGCAATAGCACCATCTGGTGCATTGGGCAATGCAGGGCACAGATGTGTCTTCTTTAATGGTAATGAATCTACCCAGAAAAGGAAACACTCCAAGGGATGAGATCAGCTGGACCACAAACCTCTGAACACAACCTACTTGTAGGACTGTTCCTGCACGAGGATCTATCAGACGTATCTTTCTGTCTCTGCAGGCTGTGGCAAGGAGACTGCCATCTGTATTGAATGACATGGAGACAACTACATCTTTGTGAGCGTCGAGGATCTTCACTGGGTTTGAGATGACAGACTCCTTGGTGTCAAGATTCCAGATCATTATCTGGAGCAAAAGAACAAAAAAATCAGCCCTATGCTGCCTGACCAACTGGGAACTTTGTGTACTCTATTCACTTCTTCCTCTCTTCTCTACATATATAGGTCTTACCATCCTAAGTGGGTGCTTGCCAACATTTAAAATAATTCCTGGTACTTTCAGGAATATATCAGGGAAACAGTATCTGCTCAGAATGTCCAATATTCTAATTTCCTTTGCAGCCACATTTTATACATAAAAATGGCCAGCATCAGTGCAAGTATTTTCATTAGCGCAAGAATGAGGCCAAACAAAAGTGCATAGCATTGCATATTGTATCCAATCCAGTAAAGGAGAAGAGCAGACTACAAGCAGAGTTTACCAGAAAACTGGAAAATTAGCAAGTCCTTTTGACCTTGTAGCAATGTCCTTTTACCTTTGGGGTCACCATGGAATTTCCCCCTGAAGAAGGCTTCTGAACTCTTTAGTACTACCTCACAGCTTGAAATTAAAACAAATTTCAAAACATCCCATCAAATATGGTGTCCCAGGAGGAGAGTTCCACAGAGTACAGACTCACCTTGTAGTCATAGCCAGAGCTGAAGAGGATGTTATTAGCAGTGGGATGCCATTCAATGAGACCCACTCTTCGGACATGCCCAAGAAGTTCCTTCATCGGACTGGTGATGTTTGTTGTTAGCAATTGCTTGGGGATGTTCCATATTTTAACCTGAACGGCACAGGATAGGTCTTTGTGAGATTCCTGAGTAAGGAACTAATTTGGAAACTTACCGATAAATGATTTCCTTGGTATTATTATTCCCTTGGTAGTGAATAGGAATGCTCCTGGTTTTATTGAATGCCAGTCCTTTAAACTAGTATCTTTACTTTTCTGTGGGCCTGAAGAATCCTCTTTACCCTCTATCTTTAGCCAGCAGTTCTACCAGTTTATTTTAACTTGGCATTCCAACACTTATACCTGGCCAAGCTGTCAGCACAATTACAAGAAGTTACTCCCAAGGGGAAGAAGAAAACCATAGATCTTGCAGACCTTGCCTCCTAACAAACTTCAAGCAGGAACAAGGAAATCTGAAAAACTTCAGCAAAGAGTCCCAGAAGATATTATAGCAGTGATTGATCCAAGCAGTCATCCATTCAATGCTACCTGGTAAAAGAACTGAGAACTCCCCTCATCAGATGACAGCTATAGTACTGTTTCTCCCATAGAAAACTGCACCAGTGCTGAATGCTTTACAAATGACACAGTCATTTGCCAAAGTACAGAGAAGTCCACACAGATGGCCACACGGCAGATGCCCTGAGCAGAGAGACTGGGACTGGGCAGCACCACACTGAAATCACTCAACATTGGGTGTGCTTTCTGATAATAGGTCTACCTGCAGCCCTGCATTCTAGAAGGATGCTGCATGAAGACAAAAAATCCTTTGTCCTCTTGAGGTGGAAGAAGACAGTAGAGGAAACCTGCAATAGAGGCTGAACTTATGCAGGTAAAATGAAAGAGTCTTTCTCACACTAACCCTAGAAGCACAAGTATTTAGGATGCTAACAGATTATTAACCCTTTCGCTCAATGAAAATTACTATGCTTGTCATAATTTTTCTAGGACTTAGCCTGAAGCAAAAGGGAAATGATCCTTGAAGCAGATATAGTTAATAGAAATTAGCCACACTTGCCTGAGTCTCCCACTGTTAGGCTTATGAGGATCATATCCTTCTAAGCCAAAGAAGAACAGGCACTAATTCTGGGACCTTGTGGAAAAGATCACGAACACCTTTCTCAACAGCGTTTATCCCAGTAAAGAATCAAGCCCATCAGAAACCTAAGAACCGTGGGATCCAGTAGCCTCCAGATGAACTTCTACAGCAATAAGAGAAAGCATGACCCACTACAGCTTCAACAGCTATCACTAAAGGAAGGGTGCTGAGAGAGCAGGAAAATGGGTTGTGTTCATACTGAGAAGAACTACCTAGAATGAACCATTTGCTCTCCAGGCTATGAAATGGTTGGCGGTAAAAGCAGGGAAAATCACCTGGCTGGAATCTCAGGATGCATTAAATGGCAGAAATGGCCAGTGCTTAGTGTGCAGAAGAAGCAGGTCTTGGATCCAGACCTGCCAGTCCAAGTAGGAACAATCCTTGAGCCATCTGCCCTGTTGCAGCTTGAAGAAAACCTGACAAAGCAAAGTAAAAGGTACAGAGTTGCCCTTCCAACCACAGAGCAGAAGACCTTCATGATTTGTCAAAAGGAACAGAAGAGCTAAGAGGATAAGGCCTCTCCCCATACTGTTCAAACCCTCAGCCCCTGGCCACTTGCATTGGCCTCGGTCCCAAGCCTGTCTGAAGCAGTAGTGGGAACTGGAAAGGGCACTGGGTGTTCACAGAGACCATCCCCTTCTGTGCCCAAAAGTACCACTCTACATGCTTCAGCTACACTCCACGAAAGATAGCTGTAGTACCACCACGGCAAGCTCCAGAAAGGCTAGTTAATTGCCAAGAAACCACCAAGGAATGTGGGTGATGGGAAATTTCCACCATCTTCACAGAAGCTTTTGGCCTTCCTCAGAAGTTCCAGGGAGACTCGGCCCTGTAAGAGCAATCAGATGCATCGTTGCACACAAGCCAGAACAGTGGCTTATCCTGATGCTCAGAAATGGCAGAAAGCACCAGGCATTTAACAACAGACTGCAAGGAAGGTTTTGGCTCTAATGCCTAGCACAGTGGAAGTGATGGACACCCCTGGGACCCCAAAAACTTCCTCAGACTTCTCTCAGGACAGAGAAAGTGTTACCATGGACATATCCCAACAGTACGTACAATCTGAGCTCTCCACTACAGGCCAGGACAAGTAAGACAGATGTTGACCTCATGGAGTGAGTCCAACAGCAGCCACGGAGATGAGGAGGGGATGGGAGCACAGCAAATCTGAGGACAGCTGGAAAGGAAAGAATTCAATCTCTGGCTGCCCTTTAACTTCATTGCAGGAAAGCACAGAGAAGATGGAGTCAGGCTCTTTGAGGGTGTGCAAGGAAAGCACCAAAAGCAATGGACACAAATGGCAATATGGGCTCTCCCTGGAGATCAGAGGAGCCCTATTTTCCCTAGAAGGGTACTCAACCCCTGGAAGAAGGGCCCAGTGAGGTCACAGGATCTGTAGCCCTGGAGATCTTCCCAACTCATCCAGACAAGGCTTGGAGCAACCTGATTTAACTGGCCAGCTTTGAGCAGGGCTTGGACTAAGTGAACTCCACAGGTCTATCCACCAGATACCAGGAAAGACAGTCACACTGAGAAACACAGTCTGCTATCCTTACTACTCAGTGGGGAGGGAAGAGATGTCCCTACACTGTGTCACTGTGCAGGGTACCCCTAAGATACCTCTTCCTGGTGCCAAGATGATGATGGAAGGGTAGTACCAAAAAAGAGAGTACAGTCAGAAACAACAGGACTTCTTAGAACAACTTCTGGTGCTGAGACTAGCTTATTGTTTCCATTCTTTAGCCTGAAGATGATCCACTGCCAAGTTTCAGTAGGAAACAGGAAAAGAAAGCTGACAGAGAGCAGTCCTCATGCATAGACCCAAGGGTCTTGGTGGACAATAGAATAAATATGACCCAGCAGCAAGCCCTGGTGGGAATGAAAGCTAGCAATATCCCAGTCTGGAACAACAGGAAGATAGCCAATAGCTCAAGGGAAGTGATTTTCCCCTTTACTCAGCCATCATTAAACAACAGCTGGTATACTGCATCCAGTTTTGCACCTCTCAGTGCAAGAAAGATGCTGATAAACTTAAGTGAGTCCAGTGGAGAACACCAGAATGCTCAGAAGGCTGGACCGCTTGCCCTGTGAAGAGAAGCTGAGGGAGATGGGAGAAGATTGCTCAACCTGGAGAAGAGATAGCTTCAGGGAAAACTGACAGAAGCCTTCAATACTTACGAGACTACTAGGAAAATAGAGCCAGGCTCTATCTTGAAGTACAGGGTGGGAGGATGGGATACAGTGGTCATTAACTACACTACGGAGGTTCTGACTGCATATAAAGAAAATAATTTCCCCATGGGAGTGGTGAAGGACAGGAACAGATTACCCAGAGAGGTGGTGGAGTCTCCATCCTTGGAGGTTTTCAAGATTTAGCTCCACCACAGACCTGCACAGGAGATGGGGGTAGAGACCACCAAAGTTTCCTTTCAACACAAATGGTTCTGTGATTCTGTAACTGCAGCAGGAAGCTTCAAAGCTTGTGCTTATTCCTCATCTGAGGCTCAAAAGAGGTGGTGGTGCCTTCCTGCCACAAGTCCTTTCTGAGACAGCATGAGAACCTGGCATACACATTGGAAGACAAAATAAAACCCTCACAGGCAGCCCAGAAATTGAAAGAAGCCTTAAAAAACACATGAATGTCCAAAGAACCAAATCAAGTCACTAAACAGGAAGGACAATTCAAGGAGCCTAGATTTCCAATTTAAGAGTGATTTTTGGAGGAGCTGAAACGGCAGAGGACGTGCATCAAGCCACGGCTGAAGGAAATTACAAAGGAAATCTCCCTGGTGCTATGCAGCAGAGGGTAAATATACCCAGTGGGAGAGAACACATGTGGGATCTCTGGAAAAAAGCACAGTATTTAGTCAGATGTCCTCACTACTACATAAGTCAGCATCACACTTTTGACAGGACATGAAAAGCGACCTTTCAGTGGATAGATACAGGCTAAACTGTCTCTTAAAAACATTAATTGAATCTTTCGATTCCTAATAATTAGTCTGCACTTACACTGGAGTAAAATATGTGACTCCATCTTAATTATACTAACTTCAACCGACCACTTATTGCGGAATAATATGACACAGATTCCTCAGCTACCCCATAACTGATCCAGTAGGACTTTACAGAGTAACTGAGTGCAGGAACAAGCTCAAACTTGCCCTGCAGGGAATTAATCTGAAATAGCTGTTCCAGATTAAGCTGTGTTGAAGCTTTTATTCTAACGTAAAAGAAGAGTTTCATAGTGATTAAATTTGAATAGTCATTCCGTTTTAAATTCATATTCTGTTTTTCTCATGCACACACACCCAAAAGGATGCAAGCCCCCACAAAATAGATTTTCCTCCTCACACTTATTTTGGTGTATCATCTGGAAGGGATCACACAGATCTGACCTCAAGAGAAAGAAAGGAATCTTACTCTTACCTGACTTTTTTTATAAGTACATGTATATATGCTTTGACATCTCATCCATGAGCCCTTTGGTTTCTTTCTTATTTCTTTCCCCAAAAAGCACGTTAGCCAGGTAATAATGCAGAGTACAAGCTGGTAAACTTACTGTGGTGTCTTCTGAACATGAAGCTATTACAAAATCATTGAACGGGTTCCACTTGATGTCCAGAACATTCCCTTTGTGCCCACATATTTTCGGATAATGTGGGTCGAGCTTGCCTGTCTGGAAAAAACAAGTATCATCAAACGTAAGGTGAGACATGGAATTACAGGTCATTTTCAAGGAAGATCCAAGCCAGCTACGGCAAGAAACCTCTTTCTGCTTGTTATGCTCCAAATGCCCTGGGTGCTTTCTAACTGTGGAGAATGGGTTTTTGTTGTCCCTGCAAGGCAAGTCTCGATGATATTACCAAAAAGAAAGGAAAGACATGCTCAGGCCTTCCTAAGTACACACTGCTATCAAGAAGCCTGTGCACATGCAGTAATCAAGACTGCTGAAGCTAGAAGACAGTATTTGGTTCAGATAGCAGAATAAAACTTAAGAAAAGAAACACTTACAAATTAGTTGAATCTTCCACATTTTTTTAAAGATCTTGGGGGGAAAAAAAAAAAAAAGAGTCTGTTTCAGAAGACATTTCTTATAAGCAGGGAAAAAAAATGTTTTCGCTTTTATTTTTCAGCCTCATCAGCTAGCATTTATTTTATTTTTTAAGCAAAAAGATACTTGTGACAGAAATTATAAATGCACTTTTTCTTTCAACAAGCTATGTGTTTCTCTCTGATGGTTTTCAAATCCAGCCATTCACCAGGTTCAATCAGCATTCCAGACTGTCCAAAAACATGCCATGTTTGGATGGCATCTTCACTGGTAAAAATCCCGTACAAAGTGCACCAAGGACTATCGAGGGCCTTGTGCCACATGGGGGCTATGTTGCATCAGGATAAACCTGTACGGCAGGCAAAGTCTGCTACAGTCAAGTCGGTATATTTATTATGCACTAGGAAGGGTCTTGGGGATTTTATTAACATTGGAGCAGCACCTACTTCCCCCTGTCAGGAGCAGAAGAAGTACGGGGAGCTCCAGGACCCACCTTACATCCCAGATATCTGTCCAAGAGCAAAGATCAGTCACCTAAGGAGAGAGGCATGATGGCAAGCTGGTGGTGCTTACCTGCTTACTCCTATCCCACCTGAAAGAATCATATAACAAAATGAATGCAAATGCGTGCTTTCCTGGAGAGCAGATAGTTCTGTTGGTGCACTCCCTGCACCTCTCCAGAAGTGGTCCTTAAGAGTGCACAGCAGAGCACAATCAGTGCTCTCCCTAACCTGGATGTGATTAGGATGTAATTTTCCCAGCCTTGAAAATTCGTACAGTTTTGAATGCAGAATAGGACACCATGTGTAACTATTCTGACTTCACTGGAAAGTTCTGTCACATAGACTGGGACTAACCTGCTTTAAACTGAAAACCCAAGGGGCTTTGAAATGTACAAGACTCTGCTTTTTTAGACTACAGTCTAAAACAATTCCCTTTTGTAACAATGACAATGCAAAGTGACTTGCTAAGGCAGAAGAGACATAAAAGACCTTTAATAAGCAGCGTTCCACCGCCCAGTGTCCTTTTGTAGGCTTCAGGGCTTGGTTTCAAGCTGGCAACTCAATGGGCTGGGCAGTCAGCTCCACAGGCATCCCTTGATCCCTATGGGAACTCCATCCCCTCCCAGAGTTGGCTGCCTCTCTGCTCCCCACTCCATTTGGGAGACTCCCAGCCTGCCCTGAGCCTGCTCTGCATGCTCCATCCTGCAAGTCTCTCCTACCCCATCCCTAGCAGGTTCAACTGGCCCTGGAAAAGGAGCCCTTGCCCTTCCAGTCATCAGTCCCACCTGCTCCAGTGCAATCCTGCAGCCCTGGGACAGAGCAGGACCCACAACACACAAACCCCCAGGCTGCCAACACAGATGACAGATGGGGCTGTTGGTCTCAGATGCACATCCGCATGTGAAAGTGAAGCTCTTCATGTGCTGGGGAAAGCTTCATTCTATAGATCTAAAACTATTTCAGTAACTAGATGTGTTGTCATTCATGCAGAGGTACCTGACTTCCAGAGTTATTTGCAGAGCTTGAAAGTGAGTAATTTTTCAAACACTCACTTTCTAAACTCCCAGCACTTTTGAAAAGTAGCCAAGGTTTTAGTTTCTTTATGAAAACCACTTCTAGTGGGATAGTTGTTAAAACTCTCCCAGCAGATTTGTACAGGACAGATTACCGAGAGATGGGTCAGCCTCACCTCCCAGGTGTTCTCCAAAGGGCACTAACACACCTTGACATCACATCACGGCATGGCATTCACATATGGTATCAGTTAGGTGAGGTCTGAGGGGTCACTACAGGTTTCATTTCATAGTCCTTGCCCCCAGAGAAAAGGGAGCGGAATTTGTGTCTAGGAGGTCTACCCAACCACAGATGTCCTCCTTTTCACACCTGGTGCTGACACATTGAAAGACTGGAGACTGCAAAGACTTGGACACAAATATCTCTCTCTCTCAGGACTTTGTTCTCAGTTTGCTATCCCTTTGCATTATGCTGCAAAGGAAAAGACAGATGCAGTCTCAATCACATCTAGTCATCAGAGAAGGAAAAAGGCAGACCTTTGTCTTTCAAAGGAAGGCCACAAAATTGCCTTCTGAGTCAAGATCCTTCCTTGGCACACAGTGGATGCACTTCTGCAACACATCTGTATCAGACACCAATCCACACTCAGGCCGCGCTGTGGGAAAGTGGCTCATCTCCTAGTTACTGTCCCTGAGTCCATGTCTCCTCGGACTTGCAAGACTTACAAAGGCATTCAGTCTGTTCTGGGCACAAGGTAGCCCCTGACACTTCCCTCCCTGGTGAGACGTGCTGCCATTCCACCCAGATGGTTTCAATGGCATATCTTCACGAGGACCTAACTCACGCATCCTGCAATAGAAGATCATTCTTCAAGTGGTGGCAGATACTCAATTAATTACTCTCCAGGTTGAACACAAAGGCCTGCTAAAAGGAGATTACCTAAGGCAAAGAGCCCTTAATCTCTGCTGCTCCCAACCCTACCTCACCCCCAGGCTCTTGGAGACGAAGAATGGTGCAGAAGGCGAGACTGGTATTTATTCAAGGACAGATGAGAGAGCTTGGTGTATGTGACCCAGCAGGAGAGGAGCACAACAAACAAGCAAGGAGGCACAGTTAAACAGAGCGGTGTTGAGACTGCATTCAAGCACATCCTGAGGCAGGTAGCCCCTCCAGTAGCACACACAGAAAGAAGTCAAAAAAGTATTGGAGGGACAAAAGCAGCTCCCCAAGCAGCTTGTTCATCCTCCCCAGAAACTGCAGCCATCCCTGTCCCAGTTACCATCTCCCACTTCGGTAAAATGTGACACCCTGGCTCTTGGGCTTTTCCTCCACACTGTGGCATGCTTGGGATATGGCTGCTCCCTGTGAATCCCATCAAAAGTAACTATGGATCAGCTGTCCATCATAAGAAGGCAATACTGTCCCAGGCACATGTCTCCAGATTGGGCTGCCTTCGATGTCCTGGCAGCTGGGGGCACAAGCCAAGAGCCCAGTATGCTGTCTACCATGAGTCACCACCACAGGAGGAGGTGGCAGCCACAAATACCACCTCCAGGAGCACAAGTCAAAAGTTGCCACTTTTCACCTGTTGGCACTGGTTTGGAAGTGCATCATGAAAAAAAATAACTGGTACCACAGCCCCCAGACTCAGGAAACCCCTTTCTGTGGGTGGCTGAGGCTGCTCTCCCAGACCAGTGTGGGTCAGGAACAGGTATTCAGAGAACAGCTGTACAAAGCGTGACATGTACAGATTCTTTCCCTGATCCACCACCAAAGGTCAACCCTCAGGTGACTAGGGGACCTGCATCTGAACAAACACAGTTCATAAACCAACTCCTCTCCATAACTCTGTCCTGTTTTGAACCCTTTAATTCTTCCAGGTTCTTCAGCATTTGGAGCAGTGAGCTCCACATATGAACTGCAGAAGCGTCCACATCTGCTGCTAACGTTCTGCTCCCTGGTCTCCAGGATCCCCTTCACCACACAAATCAAGAATAATTGTTCCTTATGCTTATCCTCCACCCTGTTCACAGTTTTATATATGTCACTCATTTGTCTTTTTTTGTAGACTGATTGAGGCCTAACCTACAAAGTCTTTCCTCACATGAAAGCAATTTCATATTTTCATTGAAGTAGTTTAATTATCCTTTTCTGTATCTCCTATTTCTACCATGCCTTTGACATCTGCAAGCAGTATTTCAGATCTGGGTTGAATATCTGAGCAGGTGTTAAGAATGGTAGAATTACTACTAAAGACTAGCCAAGCTGAGAAAAGATGAGAAGACAGAAGAATTAAAAGTAAGCAGTTCAAACATCTTCAGCTTGTCTTGCCAACACTTTGAGAGCTGGGTCCCACCCCACATCCCACAGTCACCAGCTGCCTGCTTACAAATGCAGCTCTGTGATAAAGACAAGTTCTTCAGCCTCGACAGATGATGGTAGAGGGGGCAGAAGTGACTCAGTCAGGAAAAACAGGGCAGTGGTTAATTTTAGAAGGACTGTCTCTGAACAGCACAAGCGGTGAAGGAGCTGAGTAAACAAAGTCTACAAGGGCCAGGAACCATGCTAGTTTCTTCAAGCACAACCAGTTCACTTTCATCCTTAGCAAATATATATTGAAAAAGTGGCATTGCAATAACACCATCAATCAACTTTTAATTAAAGGCTGAACTTCTGCCTTTCATCTGTTCTGTCCTGATTCCAGAGAGCTCATAATCTCATATTGAAGTTAATCCACATTAGTGCATGCCTAATTTTTCTGAAGCAATAAACATCAGACAGTCAGCTTCTCCCTTTCGTCAGATCTCTAAATCATCAAAACCCATAAACATGGGATTTATTTCTGAAAAGGAAGTTTTTCCAGCATCAGTCCTTGAAGCTTAAGAGCTTCATTGCCTGATAACTGTGTGTCTATTCTTTCACAAAGGAGAAGGTAGAGCAAAACATACCTTATTCTCCTTTGGTCACACTGAAGCCATACCACTAAAGCAACTTTCAGTTTTTGCCCTCTGTATCTACTAACTGCTTTTTTATTCACAATTTCTCCTTGGAGACAAACACCTGAACAGCACAGTTCTTGCTGATTATACAAGAAAGGCAAGCAAGGTATGAAACGAAGGAAGGTATTAAAAAACTGCAAGCAGCAACGTAAGACATAAAAGTACACACACCCCAGAAATCACCTGCCAGGGCAACTGAGCCCCCTTCCATCATTTTGCAATTCAGACAACAGCATTAACTGAATATCCTCTGTGCAATCTAGCTTCCTAGAAAGCCCGGCCCTCCTCCAGCCTCTCAACATGCTCTCAAAAGCCAGTTTGCCTCTGTGGAGCTCACCTGGTGGATGGGAATGACGAGGAAGGCCCCTCCACCTACGCACTCGGTCACCACAGCAATGAAGTGGGGGTTCACAGCACAGAAGTGGTTGTCATGGACGTTTCGCGTGATGGGTACGCAGTCATAGCACTTGTCCTTGCTGGCTGCTTTGCCGTACACATGGCGGAACTTGGAGCTGCGGTACTGTGGGTGCCACGACATCTGCTTGGGGAGAAACACAACGCCCTGTGACATAAGGACCACCTGTCCCAGCCAGGCTTGCAGACCCCCATTCCCTTCTCCCCAGCACAGGCTCACCCTCCCTGTTTGGGCTTTTCGCACCAACCCTCAGCCAGAAATTGGCAGCTGTGATTTTCCCTCCTGGTCTTCATCCTTTTGGCACAATGTGTCTCTCCACCAGTTGCAGACTCCTCTGATGGAGAGAGGAGAGTGCAGGGGACAAAAGACAGCTCTCTCCATCACCAGTCAACTGCGCTGTGCATGCACCAGCACTCACTATTGTTACCGAAAATCGTAACCAAGAAAAGTCTGGAAACTAAATAATAGTTTAGGAAGACGACATTGGTTTATTTCAGCGCCGGGTGCATGGAGGATCTCTCTGCCTAGCATGCACTCCAAGCCACATGAGGGTACACATTATATACAATATAATAATTGCATATTCATAGTACACTACATATTCATTGTTATTCACACTCAGGATTGGTTACAAGTTTCTCGCTTCTGATGTAAATCCGTACGCAACCTCAGATAGCGCTAATGAAACCTTCTCATCAACTGCGTATGCTCCCCAAGTGGGGTTTTGCCCTCTTTTGGGGGGGCCATTTGAGTTGGAGGTGGCAATCTCCCACTACCACAATTACCTTTGTCCTATTTTCAGCCATTTAACTACTGATGTCTGTGGGTTGTAATGTTTGATCAGCTTGGCTCCTTTTACAACCGGAACTCCTTACCTTGAAGGTCTCCTTTTGCATTCTTACCTACTAACTTAGAGAACAGTGTCCCTTTTTTATCGTTTGTTCTTTGTTCTCTTAATGCTTCCCAACTTCTGGATGCCAGGCTAAAGAATGTGCCTGTTTTTCTGTTAATTTAACTAAGCTGTTTAACCCTTTGGTACCACTGTCACTGATGCAGGGCCACAAGGCAGCAAGTTTAAGGAGATGAATCCTAGCAGTACAGAGCTCAGGAAGCATACAACATATTGGGTGAGAAAAGCCTGAAAGACAGCAAGTGAAGGGCCCAGTCCGGATGCATGCTTCATTTAGCCCTCAGGTGGTTTAGGACCAAAAACAAGTCTAAATTTTGCTCACATGAAGGGAAAAAAGAGGTTTGACAGATCATAGGAATACTTAAAGTCACCTGTTGGTTTTTTTTCCCACTGACCATGACATTCTGCATGTCTGGTTTATAACTGCACCACAGTCATCTGACAGACAGCATTTTAAATGGTCTTTAAATGAGATATTTAAAGCATGCTAAACACAAGAATCCCTCCCCACAGAGAGCAGTGAAGCTTAATGGAACTGATGTACTGATTTAAAATAGGAAACTACCAGTCTTGGCAGAACAGGCAATTCAGTCAATTAGCTCCTGTTCTTTCCACAAGATCTAGACAGTAAAAGGCACATGGTGGGGATGGTGAGAAGATCCTGCTGCCCAAAGGAAAAGAAATACAGATCATGCAAGAAGGTTATGGGTTAAAGAGAGCCCCACAGAACCAGCTGGGAGTATGGGCAAAGACTGGTAGTAGGCTTGGTTTTGCCCCATATTAATCCATTTAATGTGCATCTGGTGAACATTATTATTATCAGTGATGCTGGATCTGACACAGTGAGGGCTACCTATCCCAAACAAAAATAAAGAAATGTGAGTTATTTGCAAAAGAAAGCAGCAATCCTGGGAAAGTAATCTTGGAAGGGATGTTCACAGGCAGAAAGAAAGCTGCAACTGGCTAGCTCCCCAAACAGCCCCGGAGCTGCAGCATTCTCAAACAACTTCATGCTCATTACAGCTTTAGTGGTTAGGTTTACTCACACTGAGGGAGAAAAAAAAATCACTGTATTGTCTGGATGCAGCAGTTCCTTCTTACAGTAGGAACATTATCTTTCAAAAATGAAATGAATTGCCTGGCTCCAAGGAACTTCTAGCTAAACTGCTCGTGAGGTGGGAGAGAGTGTGTGGCCTGGAGGTTCAAGGCTCCTCTGCAGAAAGGAGTCACCAAGCACATAGGAGATATTCGTTATGGCAATACCATCTCTATGGAGAGCACGAACACACAGTAAGATACTGCAATCCCATGCAGACTACTTGTAACATGTTAATGGCAAGTAAGGAATAAAGAAAATAAAAGGAATTAAATGCCCAAGTTTAGACAGCTCTCTGCTATTTCAATTTGTAGAATTAAGGTTCAGCTGCCACAGGAATGGACTTCAAAGCACCTACAATACAGATAGCAGAGCAAGATATGACTGAGAATATCATAAAATTGGCAAAGACAATCCCAGCAGAACAGGGTCCCTCTTAACACAATTGCAGCCACAGCAGAGAGCTCAGCATTAAAAGAAAAAATTCTTGAATAAAATATGGTGAAAAACAGCCTGAATAGATGCAGCTTTTTCAGGCTGGACAATGTTTCCTAGACAGTTTCTGCCCATTGAGATGTGCAACCTTAGCACTGAGAGCACTATCTCACGAAAGAATATGCCGTGCTCTATATGAAATACAGCAAAATGTATCCATTCACAGTTCCTCACTGCCGACAAAAACAGAGAAAGCAGCTCCTCTGCCTCTCTAAGCAGGACAATGCAACTGCAAGAGATATAGCAAGGACATACAGGTAGTTTTAAATGATCCCCTGGAGCCTCTCACAACAGGCATTTCTGGGTGCTTGGCTCTAAGCAGAAAGAAGAAGGACACAACACAGACTACACTGAGAGATAGATCTGATAGTGTAGAGAGCCTCAACTAAAAAGCAGAGGAACCTGCATGCAAGATGGTGTCAAAATGCAGAAAGATCCTCATCTCTTGTCCAAGATCCAGAACACAGCAGCAGGAGGCAGAGAAAGTGAGGTCACGGCTGCACCCTCTCCCACCTGCCACGAACACAGGTCTTGGTAGAACCCAAGCTCTCTGATTGTGAAATCCTCATCTAGTCCAGCCCCTTGCAAGCAGCAGGGATTCGGATAATGAGCCCAGCTTACTGGAGCCCTGAGGGAAAGCAAAGAAACCTCTGGAGATGTCTTCCAGGTGCAGCACAGTGTAGGCTTCACTGAAATACAGTCCTGCAACCAGCCCTACTGTTTCTGTATATGCACAGGTTAAGTCACTGGTGCAGCAAGCACAGTCTGCAACAGCTGATGCAAGGAAGATCAGAAGGCAATCAACCTAGAGTTGGTCTGTAAGCCTGCTGCTTGCAAGACTTTTTATTCCCTTTTTTTAAGACAGAGTCATATTGTCCTTGGCTCAGCAGCTGGGTCTGGTATTGTAAGATAAAACAGCAAAGCCATAGCAATTCTCTGCCCAGTGCCCTAGACAGGTGGGATTCCTCTTCCTGGCACCTGAAAAGGTACCCAGAAAACCGCTGGGGTATTTTGATACCCTCAAGCACAGGCTACTCAGCTTACCAGATGTGAAGGTGGAAATGCTTATGTGACCTCTAAAGAACAGACAGTCAAAGATGGACAATCCAGGTCCACCACTTGTCTTCAGAAATGAAATGTGGCAGCACTGAAGGAACTTTGCTCTCCTTTAGCTCTGACTCTTTTATGAGGTTGTTTATGAAAAGGCAGCTTTTCATGACTCATCCTTGAAACCTGACTCCAAAGGTCCTAGATCCTTGCCAAAAGTGTGAGCCCCTAAAAGGATTCTGAAGTCTAGGGATGCCTGCAGCACTCAGAAGCAGTCTTGGGAGAGCTATGCTGTGGCACATTTACTGTTCTCCAGGAAATGTCAGGCAAAACAAACTGGCATATGCATGTCCAACTGACTGAACCTGTGCTTCACCATAGGCCAGCAAGCTCCTGTTTGCCGTACTGCATCCCACTTACCCTAGGATTACAGATTTGTTTGCACTGTGCAAGGAATTTGTGAATTCTGGATGAACTTGTCTCGCTCCTGGACAAAAAAAACACATGGAAAAAGTGAAAAACGTTTGAGGAAACCCAGACACATGGTAGCCTAATCCAGATCCAACTGAAAGCACCTTCTCCTTCTGGTGCACAGTATTTTGTGAAAGAGTCACAGCAGCCAGGTCAGCCATAATAGTCTAGAAACTCAAGACATTGGCAGCACTTTATTCTGCCTTTTATCATCTTTGGTATCCTTGGCATCTTTGATATCCTGGGCATCAATAGTGCCAGGAGCTGGAAGGCATACAGACCAGGAAGTTATTTATACCCTGCAGAAGACCTGAAAGAAGATTGAAGGGCACCTTATCTCCTGGAAATACCAGCTCTTGGGTGTGGCTCCACACACTGCTACAAGCTGACCTCTCCAGCACGCATTCCAGGCCTATTTGTGTTCTGGCACTTTCAGGCCAATCTATGAGCTGCTTTGTGTTGCTCAAAGAGCAGAAAATTAACACAGGGGGGGAAATTTTATATATATGTG